TATATGGACCAAATAGACCGTTCCCTAGCTTGTCATGCATTTTTTCCAAATTTTTTTTAAAATGCCAAAACGCGGGACTGTCCTGCCAAAAGCGGGACGTCTGGTCACCTTACCCTAGTCCCCAAATGGTCGGCAAATAGCTCACACCAGCCACACCAAGGGACTTTCTACTCCCATAGAGCTACAGCCTCAGAAACCCACAGGGGCAGTTCTACCCTGTCCTATAAGGTCGCCAGGAGCCATAACTGACCCAATAGCAGAGAGTTTGGCTTGGGTCTTGAGGGAACACAGAGACAACAGGCTGGGCAACTGGGAGGCCCGGGAATATTCCTGGGAAGGTGGTCCACACTGGTGCTGAGGGTAAAGGAGAACTAAGGCCAAGGAGAAAGGAAGGATGGGCACTCTCCAGGCAGGAATGCAGGAGGAGTAGAGGCTGAATGTAAGGGGCAACAGGGGCTGGGCACTAGATGAGGTGTCCCACGGCCAGGCCAGACCTACTTGACAATGGTTGGGGGTGCCAGGGTCAGGCCAAGCCTGTTGGACATTGAGTGGCCCAAGGCTGGAGCAGGGCCACAGGCTAGGCTTGTTGCTCACTGCTGCTCCTCGCCTAGGGGCCCCCGTGACCCTCCCCTACCAGGTGTTCTTCATGCGGAAACTATGGCTCAACGTGACCCCGGGGAAGGATGTGAAGGCAGACACCATACTCCATTACCACCAGGTACCTGCAGCCGAGCTGCACTACCATGGGCTAGGCCTACCCCTGGATGGAGCCAGCTCTGGATGGAGGGGCTGGTCCCATCCCTCCTTCCTGAATGGTCAGGGGTTAGCAAGCGGGGCACCTGCTGCTCAGCGGAGGGCAGGCCAAGCCTGGGCAGTCCTGGAAGCAGAGTCGAGAAGCAGTGGTGTTTGAGGATAGGCAATGTACCAGCAGTCACTGCACCACTGCCAAATGGGAGGGGTTGACATGGTGGTCCTGCCAGAGAAACACTAGCCTGTGCGCCGAGATGCCAAACCCGGGAATTCAGTGAGATGTGGTTGTTCCCTTGCCACACTTTTGAGCATTGCCTGTTAGATAGGGCAGGTTACCACACAGGTCCCTGTGACCCAAGCGCCACGCCCAGGTAGCTTTCAGCAGGGACCTGCAAACCAGTGCTCATAGGCACACCTGCCCACTGTCCCAGGAGCTGCCAAAGTACCTGCGCGGGTTCCACAAATGCTCGCGAGAGGATGTCCTCCACCTGGCAGGCCTCATCTACAAGGTTCAGTTTGACAATGACCGGTCCCAGCTGGCTAATGTTCCCAAGATCCTGCGGCAGCTTGTGCCTGAGAACCTTACACGCCTGATGACCTCCGAGGAGTGGAAAAAGGTACCTGATTGAAACTGGGCGGAGCCTCGGGGTACAGCTGACCCTGCCTTGTGATCCTGAGCCCAGGCTCAGAAGGGAGGGTCTGTGGACCTTGAACCATGCCTGCCACACACCCCGAGGGGCTCTGGGGTGCCCCGCGGGGCACTGTCTGGGCCTCCAAACCAGCTGTGCTGCCCAGGCACGTGGCTGGCCCCAGACCCCCTGCCCTCCTCTCCCCCAGAGCATCCCTTTGGCCTATGACAAGCACACGGACAAGACGGTGGAGGAGGCCAAGGTGGCCTTTCTGAAGCGGATCTGCCGGTGGCCTACCTTTGGGTCTGCCTTCTTTGAGGTGAAGGTAGGTTTGCCTCAGGCACACATCCCCCCACCTGGAAGCCCTCAGGTCTGGCCCAGCAGGCCCATCTGGGGATAGAGGCCAGGGGCTGTGTTTGGTGGGAGGTTGTTAAGTGAGACTATAGAGTATGTGTGTATGTGTGAGTGAATATATAAAACTGTCTGTGGGGGTGTGCACGTACCACAGGGATGGTGAGCCCCTGGGAGCTGGCCACCTGGCTTGCTGGGTGTTCTGTGACCACTAGGACCTTCTCCCCGCCCCCCTTCCCAGCAAACCTCAGAGCCTTCTTATCCTGAGATCGTCCTCATCGCCATCAACCGATTCGGAGTTTTGCTGATCCACCCCAAAACCAAGGTAGCAGCAGAACCTGGGGCCAGGGCTGGGGCTGAGGGGGAAGAGGGGTTGCTGCCAAGGTCCCCAGGACCCATGTGCAAATGAAGCTGCAGTCATGCCTCCTCTGCTGTGTCCAAGCACACGTACACACGCACACACTCACCTGTCCTACAGGCTCTGGGCGGAGACTCAGACTCAGCCTCCAGGGTCACTTGAGCATCAGCTGAGCCCTGTCCCCCAACTTGCCCCCGCCCCCGCCCGCAGGAACTGCTCACCACATACCCCTTCACCAAGATCGCCAGCTGGAGCAGCGGCAGCACCTACTTCCACATGGTGCTGGGGAGCCTGGGCCATGGCAACCGCTTGCTGTGTGAGACCTCACTGGTAAGTTCCACCCTCGACCTCAGGGACAGGGGCCACCGCCAGCCCTGCTACCCTCACCAGCTCCCCTACAACCAAGCGCTGCTCATTGCGAAGCCCGGGAGGCCGGCAAGGCCTAGGCTGGCCCAGCAGAAGGCTGGTTGGGGTGAAAAAAGCGGCTGAATGAGTAGTCATTCATGGCCCACAGCGGGAAGACCTCACAGAGGCCTCCCCGTGGTGTGGGGTCGCCCAGTTGACAGGATCTTAGTGTGCTGTGGAGGCAGGGCACTTGGGGTGGGGGCATAGGGGCCACCATGGGCGCTGACACAACCGTATCCCCTTCCAGGGCTACAAGATGGACGACCTGCTGACCTCGTATGTCCAGCACTTCCTGGTCACTGTAAACAAACAGCGGAGCTCCCAGGCCCCCGTGCTGGCCAGCTTCTAGGCACCTTTCCTCAGAGGTCCGGACTGTGCTCTCCGCTCTCCCTCTGGACCCCTGACCACAGGCTCCCTCTCCTACTGCCTCCCTGCTGGGGCCCAAAGGAGGGAGTGGGCTGAGAGACTGTAATCCAAGGTGACCAGATTTAAAGCGGGACACCATTGATGGTGGGGGGGGGGAAGGTTCTTGATTACAAATGTGGTCTATATGGACCAAATAGACCGTTCCCTAGCTTGTCATGCATTTTTTCCAAATTTTTTTTAAAATGCCAAAACGCGGGACTGTCCTGCCAAAAGCGGGACGTCTGGTCACCTTACCCTAGTCCCCAAATGGTCGGCAAATAGCTCACACCAGCCACACCAAGGGACTTTCTACTCCCATAGAGCTACAGCCTCAGAAACCCACAGGGGCAGTTCTACCCTGTCCTATAAGGTCGCCAGGAGCCATAACTGACCCAATAGCAGAGAGTTTGGCTTGGGTCTTGAGGGAACACAGAGACAACAGGCTGGGCAACTGGGAGGCCCGGGAATATTCCTGGGAAGGTGGTCCACACTGGTGCTGAGGGTAAAGGAGAACTAAGGCCAAGGAGAAAGGAAGGATGGGCACTCTCCAGGCAGGAATGCAGGAGGAGTAGAGGCTGAATGTAAGGGGCAACAGGGGCTGGGCACTAGATGAGGTGTCCCACGGCCAGGCCAGACCTACTTGACAATGGTTGGGGGTGCCAGGGTCAGGCCAAGCCTGTTGGACATTGAGTGGCCCAAGGCTGGAGCAGGGCCACAGGCTAGGCTTGTTGCTCACTGCTGCTCCTCGCCTAGGGGCCCCCGTGACCCTCCCCTACCAGGTGTTCTTCATGCGGAAACTATGGCTCAACGTGACCCCGGGGAAGGATGTGAAGGCAGACACCATACTCCATTACCACCAGGTACCTGCAGCCGAGCTGCACTACCATGGGCTAGGCCTACCCCTGGATGGAGCCAGCTCTGGATGGAGGGGCTGGTCCCATCCCTCCTTCCTGAATGGTCAGGGGTTAGCAAGCGGGGCACCTGCTGCTCAGCGGAGGGCAGGCCAAGCCTGGGCAGTCCTGGAAGCAGAGTCGAGAAGCAGTGGTGTTTGAGGATAGGCAATGTACCAGCAGTCACTGCACCACTGCCAAATGGGAGGGGTTGACATGGTGGTCCTGCCAGAGAAACACTAGCCTGTGCGCCGAGATGCCAAACCCGGGAATTCAGTGAGATGTGGTTGTTCCCTTGCCACA